TGATTATTTCCTTCTGCATTTTAAGTAAGGTTAAAAAGAAGGAGGGATTTCTGTATTTACAGAGTTTCTCCAATAACCTGCGCCTATCAAAGCAGATGTCTCCTTAAGGTCTGGTTATCCTCCCGCAGCAGTGTGTCGCAGTGAACTTGTCGCAGAAATTTTTGATTTCTGCCCACTATTGAAGCGTGGTCTGCGCTATGCTATTCCACGCCACAACACCAGAGGGCCACACATTTATTTTGTCTTTTGGTACTGGAGGTTAGAGAACATAAAAAAAAACACACACATTTCACATCACGTTTGTTATGTGTCAGAAGACCTTCCCATTCTGCATCTGATTAACCTTCATTTAAAAGCAAACAAGAAAAATAAAGTAGTGATCTCACACATCAGCTCAGTTTGTATAGTGTGTTTGTGAGCATATAAAGGACACGCCCAGAAGGGTGTTTAATGGTCTGATCGGTGCTTCAGCTGACACTCGTTAGGGTGGTCAGTTATGTACTTTGTTGGCTGCGCGACACAAGAGGAGGGGCTGAGAGACAGAGAGGGTAGGTGGGGGGAGAAGAGGAAAAGTGAGGCAGCAGTGATTTCTTCACATGATGCGGATACCCTAAATAGAAGCTTCTAGACTCTTGAAGTCCCAAATAGTCATTGCTCCATCAATGCTCGTGGTGCAGAATTTGTGGCACTCCCTTTTGTCTCCCACATAGATAGACTCTTGGGTGATGCTATTCTGGTGCAGTGTGTCCAGGCTTGTGTTACGGTCCTCAGTGCTAGCTCTCTTGTCCATATACCTGAAGCGCTCCATGGCAGACATATTCCTCTGGATGCTCTGTTTGGGGAGGTCAAGCTTTGACCCAAACACCAAGGCTCTGCCATCGTCACAACGGAAAAGCATGGGGCAACAGTCGTGGCCCGCAGCTACTAAACTGTTCTCAGAGACAAAAATGTCACTGAGGAGAGGCAGGAACTGTGTCTTCAGCTCTGAGGGACTGGCAGTCTTAGAGCTGTCGACCACAGTGACGGTGCTGTCATGGCTGACCCAGGCCAGACGGTTCCCAGAGGTTGAGAAAGAGACAGAGTGGACATATCCCCCTCCACCTGCT